GGCCTCGGCGGCGGACGGGGAGGGGCTCGGTGCTCATGCCCTGCTGGCACCAGGTGTTCGGGGGCCGGGGCCAGTTTGGTCGGCATGTACGCCGCCCGGGCTTCCTCTCCTGCGACACTTCTCCCCGCTGTTGACTCGCTCGCGCTTGCAAGAGGAAATGTCTTAGTGATGAGGTTTGGTTAGGACAGTATCCCACGAATATTTTGGATTCCTTTTTACAGCAGGGCTATTTTTATAATTCCTTAATAAACTTTATTTCTATTTGTGTGCCCCTGACACGAGGAAGGAGTGAAACGGAATTGAATCATTGTAGTTAATTGAGAGAGGGATCAGGGAAGACAGCTGTTACTTTGTTAAAACACACGCACAACACTTTTCTATGGATACACCTTGAATGATCCATACCAGCGATTTTCAGCCAGTGTGCGGCAAGAACTTTTAAAACATGCAGTAACTCACTATAGAGTCAGGGGTACTGACTCTTTTTCCTTAGGCTGTAAAATAACAAAGGACATCAGCCAACACAACAATAGCTATCCGGTGTTGAACGAATCAAAATGTCACCTTTTTTTTTTTGGTCTGATCAGCAAAAAACATAACATTTTCTGGTGTGCCGCAGAATTTTAGTAGTTAGTTTATGTGTGCCATGAGATGAAAAAGGTTGAAAATCAATAATCTATATGTATACTTTAGCCAGTTGAACAGGAAGGTGGGGGAAATGCACTTATTAGGATTCTGAAAGTAAAATAATCAGCATGGAAAATTCGGTTATTTCTAGGTCATAATCACCCTGGAGTGATGATCACTGAACTGTGCTATACCTTCAAGTCAAAAGGACTAAAAGGAAGCTGGCACGAAGATTTATGACAAAATGATATTTTCAAATAATTTCTTAAGGCAATAGCAGCTCCTAAGATTAAAGACTAACTAAAGGAAATTTTGAAGTATTAAGTGGTGAATCTCTCCATTTCACATGTCACATGAGGAAGTAAGATGTGCATATTCTTAGAAACCAATTGATTTTGGATAAGCCATAGTGCCTATTGAGTATATATTGGGTGCAAAGCAATACAGATGTGGGGAACTCCAGACTTACTCTAATGGGCCTATAAGTTGTGGGAATAAAGAGCACACTGGAAATTGGTTGACTAATGATATGGCCTCTAGGATTCTGAGGCAGTGGATACTATAAGACTGCAGGAAAAGGAGTTCAGTTGAGCATGGGTGGGAAGGCCTGGGTGGATGATGAGGAAGGAGAAGCGAAGAGATGAGAAAGTGAGGATGGTAGAGGATGGAGGATGGTAAAGGCGGCAGGGGAGAGCCTGGAATGCCTGTGGTGGTTCCAGGGAGTTTCCTGTTGGAAAAAGCAGGCTGTAAGATAGTAACAAATTAAGAGGCAACTTTTCCTCGATGGAGCAAAAGATAAACAAGTAGTATTTACTTCAGATGACGCTGGAGTCAGCCATTAGAAAAGAGCGCATAGCACCACCTTATTTGCCTTGTGACTTTGCTGATTAACCTCAGCTATGTGGAATAACAGTGCTCTCCACTACTCGGGAGTCATACTTCAAGAATCATTCTTGCCGTTTTTCTCCCCCTGGGTTCAGCTGGTTGCTGGGTCTTTTTTTCTTTCTTTCTTTTTTTTTTTTAACCCTCACCCGAGGATATTTTTCCATTGATTTTTAGAGAGAGTGGAAGGGAGGGGGAGAGACACAGAGAGAGAAACATCAGTGTGAGAGAGACACATTGATTGGTTGCCTCCCGAGCCTGCAATTAAGGTACGTGCCCTTGACCGGAATCGAACCCAGAACGCTTCAGTCCATAGGCTGGCGCTCTACCCATTGAGCCAAACCAGCTGGGATGCAGAGTCTTTTGCTACTGCCTCTGCACTATTTCTGGCATCTGCTTCTTTCTGTTCCTCCTCTCATCACACTGATTTAGGGCCTTTGATATACCATTTCCTTGAATTATTGCAGAAACCCCCTAAATTGTTTTCTTTCTTCCCATTCATCTTGTGTACTACCATCACTTCCCCAGCTAAGATTTAATGGCTCTTTACTGTCTGTTGAATTAAGCACAGACCAAGCCTGGCATGGGCAGTATGGGTAAATTCATTTTTTGCCATTCCCTTAGATTTCATTATATTTTCCAGATCAGTGGAACTGTTTGCTCTTTGTGCTCTATATCTTTGCTCCTGTTGCTTTTTCTATCTTAAATGACCCCTTTCAATCTCTAGTTGTTGGTTCTCACTCATGTTTCAGGGCCATTTGATAAGAAATTTCCTTTGTGAAACCGTTCTGTACTCTTCTCCCATCTAGATGGGACTTGTCTCTCGTTTAAACCATTATAACACCAGAGTCTGCCTTTTTTGGCACAGTTGCCAAT